ATTTCCCTATAGGGAAGTAGCTATTACCGTAGGTCTCATGGTAAGACTAAGGCCCGGGACCGATTTACTTTTTCATTTTGATGTCCCCAGAGGCCAAAAACACAATTTGTTCAAATGTATATATGTGTCCGTCCGGACGATAACTTAAGTAATTTTGTAACTTTTGTAATTTTTGTGTGTAATTTGTTCTGTAAATATGTTATAAAACCCGTTGTTTGTATGATGATGGGTTGTTTACAGGGTACAATGTATCACTTCTTGGGCACTCATCGTCTGGCAGAGACTCTCAGAGACGCCGCCAAGATCGATCCCCACGCTCCGTCGACATGGTTAGTGTGTTTTAGTGTAGTCTTAGAAGAAAGAGTTCAACATAGATTGTTCAGGACGCTATCCATCACTGGATAATTTCGGATTTGGAATTTTACATAGCTTCCACTTAGGTGGAAAGGAATGTACATAAACAAGATAAGTACAAAACTGGGCAATGATGGGAAACACACACTTTATGGGCAATGTTCTTAGAGTGTGCGGTTATTATCCTCTGCAGAGTAATTTTTGGTTTTTTTTCTGTTTGTTTTATTGACTTGATTTGAACAGAAGACACACCTTTATGGTTACTAGATGTTGTACCCGTGCTTTGCAACAGGAAGAGGACACAAAATGCAAAAAAGTTAATAGTACTGCACCCTGTTTGTAAACCTTATAACTTTTTAATGCTATTTAATATCATAGAACCAACTTGTGTAGTTGAAACAGCTGACAAATTTCTTTTATTCCTTTTAAATATGATTATTAGTATTATTACTCATAAGGTTAACATGGAAACTCCAGAGCCACTGGGGCGGAGCCCGAAAAGACTTTTGAGTTAAGAATGCGTCTGTTAATCGGGAATGTGAGCTATCATCACACCAAATTTTAGCCCGATCCGACCAGTATTTTTTGCGTTTACTTGTCACAAACATACATACATCCACACATCCAAACTTTCTCATTTATAATATTAGTAGGATTTGAATGAATAGTGTTTTTGGCCTCTGTTTGCATCAAAATGAAAAAAGTAAATCGGTCCCAGGCCTAGGTCTTACCATGAGACCTACGGTAATAGCTACTTCCCTATAGGGAAATTCGCTAAAAGAAAAACCAAATGTTTTTAATACATACAAGATAAGCTTACTTGAAACCATAAATAAAACATACTTAACATACGCATTCATGGTATTATGAAAAATGCTATAGTAAAAACAACGACAAAATCTATCTAATAACAACAAAGTTATGCCAGTTTTTCTTCACGTAAACACTGTAGCTGTATAAGAAGGCTATAGCCGCGCGGTTCACGGACTAGTAAGTGTTGGGGCAGCGCCCCTCAAGGTCACACCGACACCTCCGAAACGCAACCAGCCCACTACCAGTCTTTACTCTAGTCCTAGTCTACCCACCCAACCAGTCTTTGATAGTTGTTAAGCTAATAAAATAATATAATAAAGTAATTACAAACATCCTTAATCAACTGAACAAAATACACTTTTGAGTATACAATTTTATAAATACGTTGATTTAATAAAATAAGAATGTTAATAATACATTTATCGACTGTGTTTGCAATCTTAAAATTTGACAATCATTATAATTTACAAATTCCATTTTCTTTTTAGCGAAATGGCAACTCCTGAAAAGAAATATAGTCGCAACCGATGTTCGTTCACCGGCTGTGGAAGAAGTAAGGCATCTCATCCAAAGTTAAGATTTTTTTCCTTCCCTGTAACAAGACCAGCTATTTGCGAGATGTGGATTACTAATTGTCAAAATGAAAAATTAGATACCTGCACAAAAAAAACTTTAAACAAGAGAGTAGTTTGTGAATTACACTTTGAAGATGACTCTTATTTGAGTACACTGAAAACCCGATTACATGCATGTGCCGTCCCAACACTACTGTCTCCAACAGAAGAAACGCCTTCCGACAATGTGCAAACAGACAAAGAATGTGACTCAGTACACGATGGACAGATTGGAGCCAACGTCGAGAATACCCCAGACACAAATACAAGTCAACATCATATTGAAGACGAGATTATCGCTAGTTCCTCTCCTAGAGAATTATTTGCCGTCCAAACGTCACCAAAAACTCTCCAGACTCCTTTATACAACAAATTTAAAAGTGTTAGGGGGCGCCAGGAAACACCAAAAAAATGTTTTTCTCCAGGAGAAAGTAAACTGGCTATAAAACTTAAAGCCTTACAAAAAACGAATAAGATGTACCGACAGAGGCTCTACAGATTAAAAAATAAGGATAAGGTTCTTACTAAGGACGATGTTATGAATGCTATTAAGGATATGCTACCAGATAAGGTGTCGAAATTCTTTTGCATGCAGCTAAAGCATGCTGGCGCAAACAAGCTGCCATGGGCCGAGGAAGAGATGCAACAAGCTGTGGCCATGAGGTAAGAACTAGTTTAGATTAATTAACTTTTTGTACATTTTACAATATAGTTAACTTCAATGAGAAATGGTCTTAAACATGTTTAAGGAATTTTATAAATCAACATTCCCCCCAAAAAAAGTAGGCCTACTGTAAAATTCTTATAAAAGGGGTTTGTAACATTGAATTAAACATTGACATTTTTTGCTGTAAAAATATCTTGTTTAACCATACAAATTTAATATCCGTATCTCATTGGGAATTAGAGTACATTAACAATTGAACCAATTGTATATAAACGGGCTCATTATATAATAATGACCTAATAATAAACTCCACTATGAATTAGGTCGAATAGGTCCCACTTCTTGTCTTGATGTGCCGCTAAACACACACACGCACACACTCTTTGCGGTGTTGCTTTGTTCTATTTTTAGGATTTTGCCTGACTGTTCACGCTGATTCGTTGTAGGACACACTTCCCTTCACCGACACCGACGCATCTACCAGCCACCGACTCACCTTTTACTGATGATTACGTTAAAATATTTATCGTTTACGTTACACACTTGCTATCACGTATACAGCTTCAACTGACTGATAAAAAATAATAAAATTAGCCGACAATATTTAAATATAAACACAAGTGCTTTATTTACAGATGCAATTGGTTGTAGATTAAGGTCAAGTTTCATTTTGTAATTAATGCTCCACCTGTAGGCTATTATGTTTTCTTATGACTTAAACACGTTTTAATATTTGATTTATAGGAATAAATCACCGGCCCTCTATGAACAGATGAGGAGCGATGGGTTTGCCTTGCCAAGCCCCTCTACCATCGCAAGATGGTTAAATGGCCAACCAAATCATGAGAGATGATGGCTTAAGACTTGAAGTTATAAAGCTGAAGATTGAGCTTGAAGGTTGAAGCTATAAAGGTGAGTAATGTAATAAAAATCAACCCATTGTAAATAAAAAAAGTATAAAGGTTTCATATTAAACGTGAGATTCTCTTAATTATTAGTTAAATAATTAATTGTAACATTTTCTCAGATATTTCACCAGCTACAGCGTCAGAGCTACCCTAAAGAAATTCCAATGCTCAGACTGCAAAAGGGGCCTTTCTGAAGCCACTTTCTGCTTAAGAAACTTCCAAAGAGGCCTGGTGACAAGTATGGTGGCCATTGGGAAAAAATTATGATATTGAAAAACAAATAAAGGGACTTCATTAAATGGTTGTATAACTAATCCTAAAACTACACTTTTTTTAAGACTGGCAATTCAAAATAAAAAATAAAATAAAAATTAAATCTAAAAATAATACAGTAGGTAGTCATGGTGGAAGGAAATACATAGGTGTGAAATTTCCGTCATATTCTGATGTCACTCGGATTGCAAACAAAAGATCACCTGATTGTAACTGTCAAATTAGTATATGTATTTGTTTTGAATTGGTTGTTTTTGTTTTTATAATGTGTGTTTTATAAAAAACAATAACAATCAAATCAAAACAAATACATACTAATTTGACAGTTACAATCAGGTGATCTTTTGTTTGCAATCCGAGTGACGTCAGAATATGAAGGGAATAGCACTTCTATGTATTTTCTTTCCACCATGGTAGGTAGTTAAAAATGTGTTATATTTGTTTTTAGTTTTTACATTCTTGGGGGACTTTATTAAATGGTTGTATGACTAGTCCTTACACTACAATTCATTTTTTAAACTGGCAATTCAAAATTCAATCTAAAAATAATACATATATGTTTATATTTGTTTTAGTTATTATATTCTTTTGTATATGCGGCGTTTTTTTAGCCGGTAAGAGTACGGCACTACTCATTGACACGGGTTTTTGAGTGTCCATGAAGATTTCCTCTCCACCCAAAAAAATTAAAAGGTTAAGAAAACGCGAAAAATTAAAATGTTCATATAAAATAGTCTGTTGTAGAATAAATATATCAAATTGAATTTATTACACTGCAGTACCAAACTTAATTTTAGAGCCATCTCAAATTTGAGACATTCATAAATTTTGCAAACACTATGTTATCAAAATATAGTTTACCCAGCCTAGGCAATAACTTGAGCAGAACTATTTGTATAGGGCGTGAATGATAGAGCATACTTGTGTATTTAATAAAAACTTTAAAATATAACAGGGTATTGGTCAAGGTTGTAGATAGGATATTTTATTTCTCGATATCAGGGACAAGATGAAATACTACTTTAGTTCCTGAATTGGCCACAAAGGCGGTATTGAACGGATGCCTACATCGTACGTTTCAGAGGAATCCACCTGAGACCACAGCGGTCATGCCAATATTCCCGAGCTTCAACGCTTAGCATGGAGATGATTTATCTACTTGAGGAGTATGTTTTATCTATGGTTGCGGGAACAACTTTATGTTCTTTCTTGTAAAATGTAACATACGTATGACACCCTTAACTCTGGCAACATTTTCAGAAATCGGATGACACAACCCACAACTGTTATTACGTGACTGTCACTATTTTCTTCAATTATTTTTCCACTTACTATCCTGAATAAATTAAAAGACTCAACAACACATCTTACTGAGACGGATGATCTACGTTTAGCGTTGACATCTGAACTGAATCAACAGTGAGCCACGGAGAGGGGACGGCCGGCTCTTGTTCTCTCAGTGGAGGTGGTAAGGCTTCTCCCACTCTCCCCTCCCCTTCCGACAGCTCTCTCTGGCTCAGTTGCAGAATCATGATGTAGTCACAACATACAGCAAGAATCTCCATGCGGTTCCACTCACCCTCGCTATAAAAAGCAATAAACGTTGATTAAACTGGCCTCGTGTGTTTGGAAAACATGAATTACCTTAATTACCTCCCTCTATGTCGATGCCCAGCTCTTACTGGATAGACAGAGTCAAAGTACATACTAGGTTACTACTACAAATCAGTCGGTAGCATCACGGACTTCGGGTCCAAGGCAGTGATGTCGTAGGTTCGGATCCTGGTCATTGTTGCTACTTTTTATCAGTACAGTTCACCCTTGTACAGTCCCAGCTTACCCCTTGCTTTGCTTGATACGTTCCACGCACAGGTCCATGACCTATGTGTACGGGCAAATGAAAGGTTAAAAATTGCCACCAACCTCTTTAAAAGAAAATACTAAAAAGATTTATATACATATTTACAAAGTGTAGGATGCAGCTTAGACACACATTTGAAAAAAAAGTCTAGGGAGTACAAAGGTCTTGCCAGTAGCAACTCTTTCTGTTCGTTTTTAAAATCTGAGGCTCCAAGAGTTTTCAAGTATAGAGGCAGTCGGTTGTACATCGTAATTGCCAATGTGTAGGGAAGCTGTTCTTTTTTTGTTCAGTCAACAGAAAAGGATATCAAGTTGGTCTTCTTTCAAAGCAAAAGATTGAGTTGCAAGAGCTGAGGATGAATAAAGCAAAAATTGGCAGGGAACATTGTTGCAGCCCCTTGGGATAAAAAATACCCCCGCCGCAGCAAACCTGCCGTCTAAGCAAATTTCGATTTGTCTGAATTGATTTTCAGTTAAATATATTTTAATAACATTTAGGTTTAACGAGTACCTAGATTTGCTGCTACAAGGAAACTAACAAAGTGTGTTTTTGAGTAAAATATTGATAGCTTAGTACAAAATAAATAAATTTGCTAAATTTGATCAAAATATATCCATAAAAAAAACAAGCAAACTACAACATTTGACAATATTCTCCATAAGAATAACATGGGAATTTTAAATTAACAATTTTTTAAATTTTCTCCGTTACTAATAACCGAACAAAAATACTTTTATATACTAAATTATTTGTTTTTTTAAGCTCTTTAAAAGGGTCTAAAGAGAAATTGGGAAATTTTGTGTTTTGAGGGTCAAAAGTGAGAAAAACCAATTTTTACCCCATAAAACCCCCCTAAAGCCCCGTTCCCATGGTCCGATCATGCTGGATCGCGAACTCATTCAAGTTTATCCCACTTTACACCTTTAAACCAAATTTCATCAAAATCGGACAAAAATTACTCAAGTTATCGCGTTCACGGACGTATATATATATATATAAATCTATATATATACAT